CGGTCCCTGCGAACCGGTTGGTCGGCGAACCCGGAAGTAGGTAACTTCCGGGAACGGCGAAGGGCACGCACGCCCGCCCACGGTCCTTACCCAGTTTTGACGAGTTCTGCGCTTCCACGCATGCACAGGACGCATACAGCGCCTGCGCGATCAGGAGCAGCTGGAGCATCGCGCAGACGCTAGTACGCATGCGTGCACCGCGCGCATACACGAGGACGCCGCCAGCCCCGTTCCAACCGAACTGGTTGGAACGGGGCGAGAAACCCACCCCTGAGTCCACCATATGTGAAAGTAAGTAGCATCAACATAGTCACATCTCCAGCACTTAGGTTGTAAAATTTTAAAATTTTCAATAAAAGAATAAATAAAAAAGGAATGTACTCTTAAGCTCTATTCCCTCTCCTCCTCCAGAAAATTCTGCTTTTGGCACCATCTTCTGTTAAAAGAATTTGAATGCCGCTTTTAGAAAGCTTGACTCCAACTGCCCAGTGCGTTGTCAATTACTGGAATTCAGTGAGCCAGCAGCAAAGGTTTTGTGGACCTGTGCTGAGAATATTTACATCCCTTTTGTTGATGCACAGAAACAAAAAAAACAGTTGCAAATAAAGCTCTTGTTGTTTCCATCCTGCCAGCACCGACTGCTGTATGCCAAATGTGATTGGATGGCCTTCTCTCTGCAAGCTTGCAGGTTACATGCATCGCTGTATAACAGTATTGGATCCCCGTTTCTTAAGATCTTCGTTCAATATAAGCAATGCTGCCTTTTTGAAATGTGCAAATTTTTAAAAAACACACAGATTGAATTTTGTCTCGTTAATGTCAAAAGTATAATTAAACTTGTATTCCTGTCTTTGGATCTGGCTTAGTAGATGTTTTTTCAAGCATATGGCAGGGAGGTGGGGAATTGGTACAAATTCTGCTTTGATAGTGATCCTTTTAGATTATATACATGTGGCGGAGAAGCTTGCCAAGCATGTATACCACGAAGCAGCTTGCAGACTTTTTGGGGTGAAAGGGGGGGGTGTTAAAACCAAGAAACTCGATGAATGCTTCATACTCTGTCACTTCCTGGCTGCCTTTCAGTGCTGGCATTCAGCAATCTCTAGCAAAAACAAGCCTCTAAAATGGTAGCACAATACAAGGTTCCTTAAATAAAGGAATATTAGAAGTTATTTTGTAATCAAACATTACATCCCCCCTCTCTTTCTGTTACATGCACCCACACTCCTACCCATTCACAAAAAAAAATGATGCCATTTCATTTTCAATTTTTGCTGGCTCAGTGTTGTGATTCAAGTGCAGACTTCAAACACTGATTTTTAAGCTTTAGAATCTTAGCTGTTTATTTCTGTTTATCCCCCT